AAAATATTATTTTGAAATCTCATTACGAGACAAGAATACCAAATGATGATTGAAATGACGATATGAAGGTTCGCCGGTAAAAAGGTCCAACAACATCTTAAAAATAAGTAAAATTTGGAAATTTTTAACAACAATATTTGAAAGTAGAGGGGAAAAGATGTGCAATCAGCCATTGCTTTAAATCCAGGAACATCGCTATCACGAAATAATTGGCCATGCTTGGAACACTATAATTTTTTTTTCTTTCGTTATTAGTTAATTTGGTTGTGAGTTAAGCCACTGTTGTTTAGTTCACGAATTTATAATATAATATAATATAGGTTATTTGATTGTTTCATAAGATGTATTGTTAATTTAAAGTTAGATTGAACAGTTTTATTTATATAACCTATATGATAGCTTACATATGAATGGGGTAAAAGAACCAACTGATCATTTAAAAAGTAATTAAAAGTGTAAATTCGGTTAAAAAAGTCCATTTCTTGGATAAATATTTTGAAGACGTTCCAGATCAAGGTCAATAACAGTAATATCTTTGTGGAAAATGTGCTATTTTGCTTTATTTACATCTTGTACCTATTATTTCATAGAATTGTAAATTAAAAATAAGTCATTAGATTTGTTTGCATCTGGCAGTTTTATTTTACTCCGCCTAAAAAGGAACATATGACAAGCTTTGGAAAAATAGTAAAAAATCACATTTCTATAATTAGCAATTAACTGGAAATTTTACCGAACATAGTGCGATAGATGTTTGTAGATAAAATAGTGATTACAAAAATTAAAACTGTGAAAATACTTATAAATTTTATAAAATTATTATGACCGTTGAACCTGATGAACGATAAGGTATTGAAACAAGATTCGTTGTTTTATTAGTTTTTGGATTTGATTTCTATTATATACTATAGTTTACCATACCGGAATCTAAATTTTAAATATACGTTGTTTAATTATTTCATAGGGTATATTGCTATTTTTAAAATAATTTCATAAGTTTTTTTATATAACTTCTAGAAAACCTTACAGAATAATAAAAAGGTTTAGCTGAAACTTTAACTATTCTTAACTTTGAGATGTTAATAATAGGAAAATAGTAAATAACAAAGTATAATAAGTTAAAAAAAAAAATTATTTTTTAGAGGTAAATTAAATTAGTAGCTTTTCCAGCTGTGTTGATGAATTCTTCTGATAAAGTCTAATACGAACGTTGTAGGCAGTGTGATATTTGTAAAAAATTTCAATGAGTCTGGTTATTTCTACAATAATTAATAATTCGATAAATTTTTGTTTGATGTGTGTTATTTGCATTAATACAGTTATGTTTTAGTTTTGTCATTATCAGAATAATTGCCAGAAATCAAAATGGACATCCGTGCCTTTTTGTGAACTTTAATCAGGTTTTGACAAAATTTCATATGGAGCGTTGATAGTTCAAATAAACCCCTTACAATACGGCAGACCTAATAAATTGGATTTAGTATAAAAATTGTTCAAAGTTTTGAAAATTGTCTGCGCGCCTATGTAAGACAAATATATAACCAAAAAATAAATATATATATAAAGATTTTTAGGTATTGCTTATAATTGAAATAGTTATGATACATTAGATATAAATGAATAGATGATAATGTATAAATAAAACTAAAAATATCAAGGATGAGTAAAATGATATTTAATATGTGCTTTAATTCACGATATTTACTCTATGTTATTCTTAAGTATTAAACGACGGCTACCTTAAACCCATATAAAAGGAAAGCCTTATATAGCATCGCCCATCGAGTGATCGATGATACTAATTGGATTTCGAGCGCGAGAATTGACGAGTACCTCTGTCCCCGCTGATTAATGAGAAAAGGCGACTGACTTGACAACATAAAGGGAAAGAGTTCAATTTCAAGACGCCAATTAAAAACTGATATTGGAATTATTTGTTGGATAAGTGCTAATTTTGTATCATTTGCGAAGAGTTGTTTTTTTATTATATTTATTAAATATGAATGATTAATTTGAATAAGTCTTTTGCATTAGAATTTATTGACATTCCTCATTGTAATCGTCCATAGATCGAAAATGAAAATTTTAGCATATATTTACGTATCAGGAGTTTATTAATATTTTGGCATACTTAGAAAATGGATACACATTCATTTATGTTTGTATGTATATGTATGGATATAATTTTTTGTCCTCTAAATAATTAACATTAAAATTGAATCGAACAGAATTGAATAATTTAAAAAACATTCGATTCCTATTGGTAGGGAGACGTGCTGATTAGTTTTTGGCAAAGACAGGTCCAGCCTAAAAATTAAGTTTTTGAGAAATTGTATGATTTAAAAAACATTCAATTCGTAAGCAGTTTTGGAGATATGGAGCTAAACTCAAATGATTACAAAATTTCGAAAGATTTAGTATTCATTTTATTGGTGTAATGTAATGGTTCGACTATTTCATCCAATAATATCGAACAAATATTCATAGCTAATAATAATTGATTTAATGTTTAATTTTCTTGAAATAGCTTCAACCATTTCTAAAATATGTGAAACTGTTTGTGAAGAATCAGTCGAAAAAAAAATTGATATTTTGTGAAGATCGGTCTAGCCATTGTTTTATATTTAAGAACAGAAGTTTTAATTGTTTAGGATTCTGAAGAAACGTAAATTTATTAGCAATATGTCAATTGAAAATTGTGCTCATTAAATGACAGAGTAATCATTTATTCTTAATAAGCCGTTATTATTGTCACATTCTAAAAATTAAAAATATATTTAGCTTAAATAAAAGTTGGTTTTTAACATTGGCACACAAGCAAATTGACCGACGACACAAGAACTATTCTTGATTATTAACTCATGTTTTTTGGAAGCACAAAGGACATACCAAGAGAATTAATCGCATCCAAAAAATCCAGATTATAAGCTTCAGAATAATAACTACTGCCTGCTATCCTAACAGTGAGACAATTTTGAATAATTGCTTATTGATTTTTTTTTTTAAATTAATACTACTGCAAGATAAAACAGGGCGTACGTTGCATTTTGTCTTAATACATGAGTAAATAATAGATTTAATTAATGAATATTTGATTTCTACATGATCTACCTGCGTAACAGTCTACTCATTTACCTGCCCAAGTGTCTACCTGTCAAAGTGCATACTTGTCCATTTCTGTAACTGCTTATCTGATCATCCGT